TCGTCTGGGGGGTCTTTGCGCACTACCACCCCAAAATCGCGGAACGTCCTCCTCAAAATATAATTCTGACGGATTAAAAATAAGTCTGCCTACCCTTTCAACCCTCACTCGATCACGCCTTTGGAGTTCAACTCTCTCCGCTGCCGCATCACGATTGTTGAAAAGGAATAGTTCCGTGGTTCCCATAGCCATCTGAAAGAAAAAGGAAGCCGAATGTGATTAAGTTAATACTAAGTATCAGTAAAACATTTGTCTTCCTTCTGGCCCGTGCTTCTTATGGCACGACCAACCTCGTCAGGAGTATCTAAATGTACTCCGTTCAGCTAGTGAAACATGAGTCGGGCTGCTTGTGGCGCCAACTCTCCATACGTTAGTGGTACCTAGGGTGACCACTTAAACAGGATTGCTAAGGCAGTTTTCCTTTTTCGCAAGGCGTCAAGAAAATAATTTTATTTCGTGTGGATGCCTTTTCCATTACCCTAAGAGGTGGTCTGGGATACTCCTCCTCGCCCGAGTACAAAACTCGAATCTCAGAAGTCGGGCCGTCTCCACCGCATCGGCATAGTACCCCCCCGCAAGGCGGTCCACTCTGAGTCGATAACAGGGCCGGCCATTAAGGCAACGAACCCCCGCTCCAGATGCTTCCTAGAAAAATGGAAAGACACCTACACGGCAGACAAGTAGAATCTTGCCGCCTAGCGCCAAAATAAACTTAGACGAAGAAAGAGGAATCATAGAAAAATAGCATCATTCAGACTGACAGGCATAGATGGGAGAGGGTTATTCGGGAAAGAATGGGTAACCTCAGGAATAAGTCTAAACCAAGTTGAATTTCTCTTTCTTATGCTCGCTTCGTTTCTCGTCGTCTTCTTTTTATTTATTTATAAATAGAACATAATCACAAAGAAAAGTCAACCATTCTTTCACCGTCATCACGCTTATCCATTTCAGTCCATTCACCATACCTGCAGTCAAAACCCAACGACACACAAATCACCATGCAATCCTTTTCTATTGTCAGACTCCCTGTCATACACGCAAACGCACACATTCTCTTTCCCTTTTCAATGAACATTCAGTAAAACAGGTCAAAGCAAGTGTGGGTTCACTCAGGTGTGAAGGGAACTGAGTCAATTTAACTGACTGACCTTTAGTGAAATTGAAGAAACGGCCCACTCAGGGAGACCGTGTAAATCACACTCCAGAGAAGACGATCGTCACAATGAGTCGCCCGCAAAAAAATCCACACCACTCCTTAGATCGATCACTTGTCGCGACACCCTCCGTCGCTGCCGTAAAATTTTGCAGCGCTCCCGTACCACGGCTGGTTAAACCGGAGTCACCGTCGAAAGATTTCGACAGTGTTACCGCACCACTGCCGAAAAACCCGAAACTGACGCCGTAGAAAACCCGGTGGCGCTTCCGCACCTCTACTGAAAAACCAGGCCTGCCGCCGCAAAAACCCGGCAGCGCTTCCGCACCACCGCTGAAAAGAACCAGTGCCGCCGCAGCAAATTTTCGGCAGCACTTTCGTACTACCGCAGTAAAAGTTTGTGCCGCCTCAGCAAAATTTCGGTAGCACTCTCGTACTACCGCAGTAAAAGTTTGTGCCGCCGCAGCAAAATTTCGGCAGCAATCTCATACTACCGCAGTAAAAGTCTGTGCCGCCGCAGCAAAATTTCGGCAGCAATCTCATACTACCGCAGTAAAAGTCTGTGCCGCCGCAGCAAAATTTCGGCAGCAATCTCGTACTACCGCAGTAAAAGTCTGTGCCGCCGCCGTAGTACCGCAGCGCCACGGGGCCTGTCCCGTGGGACCAGCACCAGCCAAAGGGGAGGGGAGCAGAGTGCTCCCTGCCTTGGCTATGGCTGCCCAGTCCTCCTCCTGGTGCTCCTCTGCAATCCTCTAGCTCCTCACGTTGCCTCAGCAGTCCTCCAGCTCCTCCTCACGTTGCCTCAACAGCAGCTTCAGCAGCCACAACACTCAAGGGTGTCCGTCACACACTGGCAGCAGGAGTGCAATTGTGTGGCAGCTGGGGGGCAGCTGCCTTTTTTATATTGGCTGAGGAGGGTTGGACGTCACTCTAGCCCCCAGGCAAAATCGCGGGCTCACTGTGAGCCCTTGATCTGACAAGATCCAGGGCTGACTGTGGTCGCACCACAGCCACAGCCTTAGTGTGGGGCAGTTTCTTTAACTGCCCTATTTTTTTATTTTTATTTTTATTTTTCCCAGCTATCTCGGAATCTGGCGAGATAGCTAGGCTCCTGCTATTTTCAAATTTGTTCTTCTTTTCTTTTTCTGATAAAGGGTTGAAAAGATACAACCCTTTTTAGTTTGATGTACCTGGACCCTTTTTCCAGGGCAGATACATCGAGGAAAAGGCTGTATCTAGCCTTTTCCTGAGTGACCCTTTAATTTTCAGGCTCCCTGCAAAAACGGGAGCCTGACAGTTACCTCTGGCAGCTTCTGCCAGAGGTAGCACCACGTGAGGACAAGTGTCCTCACACTAAGTAAAGAAAAAAAAAAAACCAACCCCCTCAACTGCAGTGCTCCTGGCCGTGATTTGAGCCAGGAGCATGCAGTTTTCTGCCAACAGTCTACTCCTCCCCTCTGCTGCCCTCCCCTGAAAACAGGGAGTACAGTTGTCAGGTTGGGAGGAGTAGGTCCTCCTCCTCCCAACCACCTCGTTTCCCTCTCTCTCCCCCTTCTTTTTCCATCTCCCCCACGCGTGCGCTGTGAGCCGCGAGATCTCAGATCTCGCGGCCACAGTCGTTCGTCCCAATTCGAAGTGGGAGCTCTTTTTGCTCCCACACAGTCAAAAGACTGTTCTTTTTAATCTCACGAGGCAGTTGCCTCGTTTTTGTTTTGCTTCCCTTTTTTTTTTTTTTTTTTTTTTT